GTAAGACATTTTTCAGACCTGTATATATTATTTGCCAGCTGGCAAAAGAAAATACTGAACAGCACGATTTCTTAAAAAACCCTATCAGTGCTGTCTAGTATTTTATAGTTATTTACAGCTGTATTTCTAATGTTCCTTAATTTCTCTCCACACCCTCAACCTCAATATTGAGTTGTTTTATGAGTCTTGCACAATTGGGTACTATTCACGTAATTCTAATTATAGGGCTGTATCTTATTCTGACATCTAACAAATGACCCGTGTCCTACAGGTTTGTCACTAATGGGGAAAAAAATTTCAGGAAGCTGAGAAGCCTCACAACTTCCAGGGTTGCTCTGAATGCATAACAAGACCTTACTAAATTCCATTTAATTTCAGTTTGGTCTGGTTGACATAAAAGCTCTTTTCAAAAGAAATTAGGAGGAAACTTTTCACTATAGCAATCTGTTTCCGAAGCAGTTTTTCTAACAACGTGTGGATTGACAAGGGTGATTTCACCTCTTAAGAGAACTGCTTTTATGTAAGATAATTGATGGGTGTGCTGTCTAGTGCAAAGGAAAGATGGAAAGATGTAGTCAAGGGATGATAGTGGCACTGGTGTGTCCTAACAGGGCCTTGCTCAAAGGACTGAGGTAGAACAGGAAGGAGACATGAGGCCAGCCTGGAGGACTTGGGAAGAGCTGGTCTGGGAGGTGACCAATGAGGACTTCATGACAGCAGGGGATTTCCTGTTTGAAAAGGGGATGGAGGGTGGGAGGGCATGCCCAGTGGAGGCACCAGCTTGGTCAAAGGTCCACAAGCAGGATCACTGTATGTCCATGGATTGCTGAGAGGGTTGAGTGGCTAAAATGTAGGATTCATTTGGAACAGGGTGGGTGTGAAATGAAACTGGGGAGATAAGAGTAGGACCATAGCAGAATGGCCTCATGTCCACACTAGGAAGTTTGAATAGAAGCTTGGAAGGCTTTTTAAGCAGGAGGGTATTATATTCAGCATATGCAGGAGTAGGGCCTATAGTCATTTCTTATTTCTCATTTCTTAGTGCTGGATGACTTGGGTCATTTACCACTGCTTGGTGACAGCTTCATGAAGGGCACATAAACCTCTTGAAGGTCAAATTTATAAACTTAAGTGCACCAAAAGAGCAGAGGAGCTAAAAGGATTTCACTTACCTACCAGCTGTATGGTACCCTCATTTTAGAGTGGCCCCTGATACATGAGGGTGCTTTTGGGGGCACATCCACCTTGGTTCTTCAAGGCCTCCAAGGGTCTGTTCAGACATTTTTGCCCTTGAAGTCTAAGGGATGGACTGTTGAGAGATGGATGGACAGATTCATTCATTAGTTGTCTGAGAATATAAAGATGAGCATGATCTTTATTCTCAAGAAGCTCACAGTCTAGGGAGGGAGAAACACCAGTAATAACATAATAGCAGCTAATTGTTGAGTGTTTATCAACTAGATGCTATGGGAGACAATATTTCAAGGTGGTTTGAAGTTGGCAGTCAGAAATAACACCATTTTTTCACACACATGTGATTTACAGATTGTGGAAAAAGAACTAAAGGCTTGCCCTGGTCACAGAATATACTGAATGAGATGCTTCCGTAAGAAATGCTCAAGGCTGAAGTCACATGTACATGCACAAATTCATTTAGCATAAGAGTTCAATCTCTTAAGGCATCAGATGCTAAAAAACACGAGCCTTGTCATTAGAAGCTTCTGTACCCCAAAATCTTTCCCACAGCCCATTGTTTCTCCCCAGAATGAGTGGTTTTTCTCTCTAGCATCAGTCCTCTGCCCTCCTAGGTGAACTCCCAGAATTCTCCTCTCAGCTCTCTCTCCAGTTATCTCTTGCCTTGTATCTATTTCTTTTTTGAAATATCCTCTGGATACCTTCCTGTGAACTGTTCAGTAGGGTGCCTTTAGTCTACATCTCTTGCTTCCCCTGACTCACAAACCACTCTGATTACTCCAGAGATAGTGAAACTAGTGTATTTCAAGTACCTTTTTATTATATTTGATGAAACATTACCCCTGACCTTCTTGGAACATTTTAGTTAATTTCCGTACCCATTTTGCCTATCATTTCAAGATGTTTAAAAGTCAAATCTTACAAATCAAACAATTTTAATACTATAGGAAGGAATGGAAAAGGGCTATAAGGATGATTCTTGAAAACTATTACTACAAATATTGAAGGAAATTTAAACAAAACAAACTTTGTTTTGCCTATAATCCTACCCCAGAACCATTGCATTTATTTAACTTTTCTTCCAGATCGTACCTTCAATTATTGTAAACTTTTTCTTTTAATCCCTTGAGGCGTTTTGTAACACTTTTCCATTTTGCAATATATTTATTTTTAGTGTTTGTGTAATATATTCCATCAAATAGATATTCCATAATTTATTATTGATTCCTTTAGTGCTAAACATTAAGGTTATTTCCATTTTCTATTATAAATAATAGGAGCAAGAGCATCTTTGTATATACAGCTTTTTTTCCTATGTCTGAAATATATCTTTAGGATAAATTCCCAGGAGTAGGATTAGTGGGTCAAAGGGTATGAACAGCTTTATGGCTCTTAGTATTTATTGCTGAATTGTGCAAAGGGTCATTCTAATTTACAATGCCACCTGCAGCACATGAGAGGAGCTATCCCTCCCGACCCTCCCAACACTGATTTCTTCCGTCAGTAGTTTTGGGTGAATTTAAGAGTTATTAAGAGGTAACTCATCAATGTTATTAGTGGGCAATTTCTTGATTATCAACATTAGAGATTTTTTTTCGTAAGTGTTTTCTTATTATATTCCATTTTATATGGTTTGCTCTTTTGTGTATATAAGAAAGGCAGCATACATGCTTTGTTGTTTTCTCTAAATTGTCAAGTTTCTGAGTCAGGAGTTGGTGCTCTTGTCATTTCCAGTGGTGTCGAGTTGTCGCTGTTTTGTTTTTGTTTTTAAGAATCATAAAATACTCATGGTTTTATTTATATGTGTATATATATATATATAT